ATATATATAACAGCACAACGCCGCGATCTAGTAACAAAAACGCCTATTGCGAAAATCGCGAGAACTTAATTTTTACTATATCTCTAACACTTCCCCTTAAAAATTAAAAAAAATTATATAGATACAACTAATGACTCAGTACATTTAAGATGCTTGTTTGCAGGCAAAGCTTTAATAAGAATATCTGGAATCATGTCTTCTGTACATAAATATTCTAAACTTATTAAATTGTCCTTTAACGCTTCTCGCTCAAAATGATGCCTAATATCAATATGCTTCGTTCTACCGTGAAATATAGGATTCTTTACAAGCTTTTGGGCACTTGCATTATCGTTGAAAATTATCGTGTCCGAGAATTCCTTCAATCCAAGCTGCAAAAAGAATCTTCTTAAATATATAGCCTCTTTAATGGCCTCCGTTAATCCCATATATTCAGCTTCAGCGGAGGAGAGTGCAACTGTTCTTTGCTTTCTAGATTCCCATGTGATAGGAGCTTGACTAAAAAAAAAAAAAAAAACCTGTATATGAATTTTTATCATTTATACAACTTCCCCAATCCGCATCCACATAGCCCTTAAGATTTTCTTGACTTGGTCTGTATACAAGAGACATATTGATGCTCCCTTTAAGATAGCGAAAAACACGCTTTGCCGCTGTCCAATGTTCTGATTCATATTTATTATTGAATTGACTTAGAGAACTTATTGCATAAGCAATATCCGGACGAGTAGTTACAGCCAGATACATCAGACATCCGATTAATTCTCTATATGGCACGTTGCCTTCATTCTCTTGATATTCATCCAACTTTGTTAATTTTTGACTTGAATCCATTGGAGTCTTAATAGGTTTAGCATCAGTCATGTTGAACCTTTCGAGTAGATTTTTTATGTAACCTTTCTGACTCATTATATTACTGTCGTGTTTTCTTGAAAATTCAATGCCGAGACAGTGTTTGATCTCACCTACATTTTTGATCTCAAATACTTGACGTAGATGATCCTTGAATCTCTGTATTTCATTTAGATCCACCGAGGCTACTATTATGTCATCGGCATATATTAGTATCAAAAAATAGCTTTCCCTTGACCTTTATAGTATATGGATCTGCGTTCAATGCCATTGTACCAAATTTTCTTAGTCCTGCATCAAATCTTGTA